CCTTGTCTGTGAGGACTCCGACTCCTATAAATGCCCACGTATACATTTCCATATTGTCTCTTTAGAGGGTTCCGGACTATTTTCTTACACCTAACACAGCTTTTACTCCATTTAGAATAATTACCCTCCATCCCATTTCTGACTTTCAAGAAAAACAAGACACTTAATTGACCACAGGAGGACTCTCTCAAGGGCATCAGGCTGCAAAAGCTCTGCTTCAAGCTCCCAACTTCAGCTGATGTAATCTGTGACAAGGAGCCGACTTCTATTTTTAAATTATACCCTTTACTCTGCCTTCAAAGGGCGCATATATCACACGTTGTAACTTTGCCCATAAAGTACCTTGTGATCCCGGGTGAATCATGCTGTCAGGAGGAGTGCCCAGCTGCACACAGCCTTTGAATTCGCCCATCTTTTCCTAGTATGTGTTTGGTTTTGAGGACAAGTTACATGTGCCATGCACTCCAGGGGTCTTATTCCTCATGGTCACCCGGACAAGGAGCCGACACCTTGCAAGGTCCTTCTCGAAGGCTGGGCTCAAGGCTTCCCACCTCTCTGTGTCTCCAGCTCTGACACAGACACTTCACAAATGCTCTTAACACTGACACTGAGAGCTCTGCCGCTGGGCCCGCTGTGCTTCCAAGGATGCTTTCCAGAAGGAAAACAGATTGCTTTGCTGAATTTTAAGTTTTTTATTCATCACTTCAGTCCTGCTCCCTGTGTGCTGTTTAAAAGAGTTCTTGGCATTCTGAGGACACTAAGAAAAAAGCCTCGGGTGGAGGAGAAAATGCACTTGAACTTGCCTTTTATTTATTTACGCATTATTTATTTGTTTGCTTGTTTATTTATTTTTGAGTTGGGTTCTGCCACCCAGATTGGAGTGCCATGGCACACTCATGGCTCACCACAGCCTCGACCTCCTGGGCTCAGGCAATCCTTCCTCCTCAGCCTCCCAAGTAGCTGGGACTACTTGTGCTACCATGCCCAGCTTTTTTTTGTAGAGATGAGGTCTTGCTATGTTGCCCAAGCTGGTCAAACTCTTGTGCTCAGGCGATCCTTCTGCCTCAGCCTTCCAAGTAATTGGCATGTGTCACCATGCCCAGCTAATTTTTTATTTATGGTAGAGGCATGGTCTCACTGTGTTGCCCAAGCTGGTCTCAAACTCCTGGGCCCAAGCAATTCTTCTGCCTTAGCCTCCCCAAATGCTGGGATTGCAGGCATGAGCCACAGAGCCTGACCTGTATATGCTTATTTTGCTTATTTCTCAAAACTGTGGTGAGCTCAGTCCCAGAAGTGGTGCCACTGTGGAGTCTGGGGAGATCAGAGTGGCCCATCTTTCTCTGATCTGCCTGCTTCTTCATTTCCTGGTTACCCCATGTCTCGACTGGGTCTGCTCAAAGCCTTCCAGCATTTCTCCTGACCCCAAGGCTTGGGCCTTCCAGTCCCTTCCTCTCCCTGCAATCTGGGTGCCCTGTCATTCTCTCCTAAAGGCCTTTGTCTAAGGCGCTCCCTCAACCTGGGACACCACCCTGTTGCTCCTGCTCCCTTTACCCAGCTCCTTCCTACTTATCCTTCATGTTGTTTTTGGATGCCACCTCCTCCAGGAAGCCCCTCCCAGAGATCACCATACTGCATTGCATTTCCCTGCTCTGTCTCCAGGTGACGCCCGCTTCTTCATGACTATGTTCCTCCAGTACAGAGTCTGACTTCCATATTGTTTGTCAAATGGACAAATAAACGAAAGAATGGACACCAAGGGCTCCAAGTCGGGGACCACATTGGGAGGTATGAGTTAGAATTTGGTCTCCTCCAGAAAGTATGAACTCAAAAATGAGGGGAACCAAAAAACCCTGAATTTATTTATCAAAAATTGTGTATTTACTTATACATGTTAGTCAGTCACCTTCAAAGTCCTCTCTGTTTCATGCAATACACCTATCAGGTGCTTTTTCCGCTGTTCAAAACAGTTTTTGAACTTGTCAATGTTGATGTTTTAGTGCTTCTGCCATTTTTTTGTTTCACCTCTTCCACATTGGCAAAACATTTCCCTTTGAGGATTTTCATCCACAGAAACAAACAAAAAAAGTCACTCAGGGCAAGATCCAGTGTATAGGGAGGATGGGGCACAGGGGTCATGATGTTTTTGGTCAAAAACTGTTAAACACTCAGCTCAGTGTTGGCAGGTGCCCTCATAAATCACTGATCACGAAATGGCAAATATGCAGAAAGAAATCTCCCCAAAAAATTCACTGAACATGAAACACAGCCTCTCACAACAACACTTGCTGGTCCATGGATGCCAGTGGGTTCCCAGAACACTCACCTAGCAGGGAAAGACTGGACTACTATGGGTCCACCCTTTAAAAGGTAATTCCAGTGTTTTTTGAGTCCCCTCCCTCATATAGCAAAATTCAACTGTAGTTCAAGATTTATCCGCTAAAATGTGACAGGGGCAGCTGCCCCAGGAGACTGGAAACCCCCCCCACACACACAGTGACTCCCAAGAAGCCCCCGCAGCTGGATGGCCTCCCAGAGGGCTCAGAAACATGTGTTGGTAACACATTCCTCAGAGAGAAATGGAGACTCTGTTTAAAACGGAATCCTACCGGGATAACACACTCATGCTTCCTCCAAGTTAAATCCCATGTTATAAACTCCATGTGAACAGAAACCTCCCCAATTCAAAGTCATTCTAAAGAAGGCGACAGAATAATAATGCGATCCTTCTTGCCTGTAAAACCATACATGTCAATTTCCAAACATCGTGGGGTCAGCCTCACATGGTGGGACTGCCGGAGAGGTCTGAGGAAGCATGGGTCTGGCACTTCAGACTCAGTGTTTGCAATCTGGCCACCTGGTTAGTTAGTGTCATAACTAGGGACCAGGCACTGGGCTGGCCCTGGGGTGATGGTGGTGACAAGAACCAACATGGTCCCTGTCCTTGTGGAGACTCCAGCCTCATCAAATAAGCACTTGAAGACAGACTTCTCTAAAAAAAAAGTCTAAGTATACCATGCTCAGCTATTAAATCAAATCCAACACATGTGGGATTGGGAAGTAAGGTATAGCCTCAGTGCCTTCTGCATGGCAAAGGAGTTTTTTTTTTTAAATGGATTTTCCAAAATCAACAGATTGATGGCACTAAAGAGTGGGCCATGTTTCAACATTCAAAACAAATGACAATGGGTGTGGCTATTTCATCCTTACATAGTCAGTTACTGCATCCAAAACACAACCAAATAAACACAATTCCACGTGAAATTTTTCTGCCTTCCAGAATAACCATGTGTTTATTTTTATTACCTGGCATGCAGGAGGTGCTCAATAAATGAATGAACAAATCATAGCAGAGACAAAACTATGAAATATCTCTGTCAATTTTAGGTATCCTCTCTTAGAAAAAAAAAATGGCTATTTTGTAGGATTCTGACTTTTATTCTCCTGTCTCACCTCCTTAGGTAATGACCTTGATACCCAATATGATCACATGATACCTGACACAGATGTCAGTTTTCTCATCTACAAAATAGTGTCTTGGTTACTGTAAGGCTTAAAGGAGGCACTAGACATAAGTGATAAGGACCATGCCCTGCAGACAATGTTTTGCCCCCGCCCCTTTTTTCTAAACTCCAAATAAAGTGCTAAAGACAAACCAAATTACTGGCCTGATCAGACAGTTGGAAAACATCAAAAGTAGCCTGGGTTCAGCAGCACCTGGCTATAACCCTGAAACACTCTTATTTTTTTATTTCTTTTGTTCTAAACATCTTTATTTACATTATTTATTTATAACATTATTTACTAATCTTGGGGCTTTGATTCAATCCTCTACGATGAGTGGGTTTCTAGATCCTGATTTTCTGTGATTTGGAACCACACCTTTTTGAGAAGTTGGCTGCTGAGGACATCAGAAGTAAGATGGACCTCGATTTCTCTTCAGAGGGAAGGAGTCCACATTACAAACCAAGATCAGGCTTGACTCTTCAAGGAATTTGTACTAGTTTAATACCGAGGTCAAGAATTGGTGACTGTCCTCTTAAGCAACAGAAGGTTCCTCCTTCCCTCCACCCCACACATCTAAGCTCCAGCACCAGCCAGATTCCCATTCATGGCTCCAAAATCACATACTTTACATCTGGGGATTTTAAGCAAGATCACTAATTACAAAAGGATCATGTGAAATGCGTAAGACAGTTGACATAATATTATGTCAAGCCTAACATTTGGCTGAGTTTTGTTTTTCTTTCACACCCTGAAATCTATCCAGTCAACCAAACAAAGAACTACCAAGACTACACAACAATCTTGTTCCATTTTCCACAAATATTCAGTGTAAGACTGCCACCTAGTGGGAGGATGTAGCCTCATTCAACAAAATCTACAAACCTAAATTGACACAAGTTCCTTTTAAAAAACCCAGGGAGATTATTTCTCTGCTGCTCACCAGTTACTTCAGGGAAATTCAAGAGCACACCCAACTACTGGGCTACCTATTTCTCTCAGAGGAACTTCTGAAGAGGTCCACAGCAGATAGCGCCAATGGGTTAATCCTACCACTAAACTTCGTTGCTTCTGAACACGTCACAAAACAAAGAAGCATTTATATTCTGTTAATTTTCATAAAAATTGGCGATTAAAAAAGATTTTTCCCAATAGTCTATTCTCACCTTCTGGATTCATTTGATCTGATCTTGATTTTTAGTTATGCATGAAAAGGCATTTAAAAGTGACAACCTTACCAAAAGTGCACATAATATGAAAATCTGACTTCAATTAAATCAGTTACTAAATCCCGGCAATTTCCAGCTGTCTCCTCTATCTTATCCTTAGAGAATTATATATCACATTAATTGGTGCTCTGTCACATAAAAAGATTCCTGCGATGATTAATTGCATCCTTGGTGCTTTTGAGTCATACTTCCCTCACCAGAGGGATTCCAATCACATGGCATGACCTTCCAGCAGGTACCCCTCTCGGCAACCCTCACAACGCCACCTACCTTCCGGAACTTCTCCATTTGCTTGTAGAGGTCTGGATCGAGCTCCTGAGACACATCTTTCATCCATAATAACGCTCCTCTGTACTCCGTCCGGCACTGTTCCATGCGGTTCACCGTCAGCCAAGTGTCCGAGATGGCCCGGTGCCGAAAAGTTTCCACTTCTTGGTGAAATCGACACAAAGGATTTCGCAGGGCCAGCCTGGGCAAGAGGAAAAAGCAGCACTCTTGAAACTAACCAGGCAGGAACTTGAACCCGTAATAGTTTGCCAAACTTAATCTCAAGGGCCTAGAACAGTGCCTGGAATGCAAAAGATGCTCCAGCACTATTTGTTGAGTAATCATGGAAAGGTGGTGAATGGGTGAATGAGCCAGAGGTGAGGACTTGTGTCCCAAGCCTTAGGTCACTGCTACCACTGTTACTGACGGAGTGTCTCCATCAGTGTTTCCAGGAGTGGTCTCGAGACTGGCAGAGTGCTCGTCTGAAGGTGACGCCAGGCCTGTGTGAATGGTGGTCAAGATATGACCTTGCCCATGTCTACGCATGGTCACGCTTACTCCTCCAAAGGCTGGTCCTTGTAGCGGGGATGGGAGTGTACGCGATGAGGGTCTCTGTGCCAGGCCATTTTAGATCACTCTCTAAGGGTCTGGGCATCTGTGCTTGCTCCAATGGTCACAGAGGAATGTAGCCTTGTGGCACGTTCTAGGGAGGAGGTAGCTGCATTTACCGAGGGCCTGTGGTGTGTCAGCACTTTCAGATTGGTTATATGACTTCATCGTGACAAAAAAGAAAGCTTAAGAAAGTGACGAAGTAGGTGTGAAGTTATTATAATATTGACTGTGACATGCTGCTATTTATCAGACCAAAAAAAAAAGTTTAAAGCACATCAAACTTTTGATAAAATATTTATTTGGGGGTCAAAACATTGCTTGTTTCACCTTCCTACCCCAAATGAACAATGTCAGATGAATTATACTCTCAAAATATATTCTTCTCCATGAAGTTTCAGGGCACAGATGCATAAAAAAATTTTTGTTAAAGATGAAGACTTACGTTTCAATTTAGGCTGGGTGCAGTGGCTCATACCTGTAATGCTAGTACTTTGGCAGGCCAAGGTAGGAGGACTGTTTGAGCCCAGGAGTTCAAGACCAGCCTGGGCAATATAGCAGACCTCGTCTCTACAAAAAAATAGAAAAATTAGCTGGGCATGGTTGCATGGGTCTTTAGTCCCAGCTACTTGGGAGGCTGAGGTGGTAAGGATGGCCTGAGTCCAGGAGTCTGAGGCTGCAGTGAGCCATGATTGTACCACTGCCCTCCAGCCTGGGTGACAGAGTAAGACTAAAAAATCAAAATAAATTTCAATTGAAATTCATACTTATTTAGCTGAAGGGAACAACGGTGTCAGTGAGTGAAAGTTGGCTTTAGCAGTTCCATAGGTGTCTGCACAGGCCTATGTGTAAGTCACACTCTAAGATCATAATGGGGTAACAAACTGTTCAAGGAAAAATATCCCTACTTTTCCTAGTTTTCCTCTTGTCTGTAAAGCATTGTCTTTAAGTACTGAGCACTTCTATAAAACAGCTTGCTCACACGGTCTTTCCTAGACATGTACATCATTTTAAAAGACATTTCTGTGCTGTAAAGGAAGCTTGTGTTTTATCCCTGTTGGTTTAAATTTAATACTGTTCATCAAATAGAATTTGTAGTTGTGGCAACGACTATCGAATAAGTCAGTAAAATAAACATGGGCGTGAAGGTTTGTATAATTCAAGGCTTCTGTTTAAAGAGAGAGTGTCCTCAGCCTTCTCCCTGAGGATCCTGTTTATTTCTGAACTCACTGTTATCTCTTGGTTTTGCCTATGTTCCTAAACCGACAGAAAGAGTCTTGTGAAGACAGTATTCTTGATCTCTGTGACTGTTATCAAGAAACGTTTGAAGATGTAATAAGGTTTTTTTTGTTGTTTTGGGAGGTTTATTTTTTATGTTTTTTTATTGTGAAGTTGTGGGGTACAGTTAAGGGTTAGGTATACAATTGCGTTTCATTCAGGTACCCTGTTGATATGGGGTGTTTCCCCGTTCCCAGACAGATATTTGCTACTGTTAATCCCATCTCCCTCCCCCCACCATAGTTTCCCAGTACGGTCAGTCATTTTCGTATAGTATTGCATTGGATGTTTAAGTTCCATTATATGAGTGAGAACATGTGATACTCGGATCTTTGTTTCTGTGAGAGGTCACTCAGTATTATAGACTCTAGTTGGGAGGTTTTTTTTTTTGGTGTTGGTGTCTCACTCTGAAGCCCACCCAGGCTGGAGTACAGTGGCACAATCATGGTGACAGCTCACCACAGCCTCGACCTCCTGGATTCAATAGATCCTCTCATCTTATCCCTGGGTAAGCTAGGACTATAGGCATGCACCACCATGCCTGGCTAATTAATTTTTTTTTTTTTTTTTTTTGTAGAGATGAGGGCTCACTATGCTGCCCAGGCTGGTCTTGAGCTCCTAGGCTCAGGTGATCCTCTTGCCTCGACCTCCCAAAGTGCTGGTATTATAGGCATGAGCCACTGTACCCAGCCAAGATCTTGATGATAAGGGCATATAAAATCATTTCATTTTCTTCCTCTGTAACTTGCTTCATATAAAATCAGAAAGGTGAAACCTGTTCACTTGTGATATGAGAAACTAAGTCTAGAACAAGAAAAACTCACTTACTGAAAACATCAAGCTTCAATGCAAAACTGGCTCACCTGTTCATTTGTGAAAATCCACCCAATAGGAATAATTAATAAAGTACCCAGAGGTCTACTACAAAGACACTTGTCCTTTAGTAGAAAAAGGTGGAAATGACCTGACACTTGGACAGAAGGGCTTGGGTTAAATGTACTGTGGCATGCCCAGATACAATATGAAACTGGATGTTTTAAAAAATGTACACACTGAGCTTCAAGTCAGTGACAAGTAAAATATTATATATATATATATATCTCAAGTATGCATTGAAATAAGAAAGGTGTTAGGTTTAGTTGATTAAAAAATCAATTTACCAGCCAGGCATGGTGGCTCATGCCGTAATCCCAACACTTTGGAAGGTGGAGACAAGAGGATTGCCTGAGCCCAGGGGTTCGAGACTAGCCTGGGCAACTTGGCAAGACCTTGTCTCTACAATAAATAAAAAAATTAGCCTGTAGTTCCAGCTACTTGGAAGACTGAGGGGGAAGGAGTCCAGCAGGTTGAGAATGTGAGTGTGCCACTGCACTCCAGCCTGTGTAACAGTGAGACTCTGACTCAAAATAATAATAATAATAATAATAGACAAGTTAGTATACAATACTATTCAGAAACTGTATGGTATGATGCTGCTTATGTTAAATATATCCTGGTGTACCCTATGTCATGTCCATTCAAGTTCATGAGAGCTTCCTGGATTCTACTTCCTCCATGTTTAGGAGACCTGGTTGGGATTTTGTGTGCATGGTGAGCAGGTGGAGCCTTCCAAATGACAAAGCTGGCCACACTGCATCATCAAAGTATGGGTGTGCAGTTTGCTAATTTATAGTAGCGAAACATTCAAGCATTATCTGAATCATTTTGTTGATTTCTTTCACTGCTTTTGTTTGTATACAAAAGTTAGACAATATAAGCTTAAGGTGTGTTCTGGGAGCCCCTTAGGCATATCATTATGAAAGTGTATCCTAGATAGCCATACTTTAAAAGAATTAATAAGGCAATCAGTTGTGGTATCCCTTTGGGTGATTGTGTCTAGGAATTTGGCTTTGTTTTCCATAAGTGATAGTTAATTTTGGTAGATAAGAGTTTTCCTGACTGAGATTAGTGATAATAACATGTCTAACAGAGGATAATTTACAAAAGAGTTTTCAGGAATCAATGATGTTTGTAAGGTGGAGAAGGCCATAGAGGCATAGAAAAATGAAAAATAGACACAGTAGGTCTCTTCCTTCTACTCCCATCTTCCTCGCGTTTTCATTAGGAACAACCATGTAATGTGCTCAGGGCCTGTTCTTGGCCCATAGGCAGAGAAAGCAGGAAGGAGAAATCAACAGAAGAAGAAAATATCGTACACTTAGTGAGTGACATTTCTGTGGCCTGAATATTTTGGGGAATTACCCACATGCCTCAGTTAAGTATGATTCGCCTATTGTGAGTTGTGGACATTTGGGGGGCTTAGAATTACTGGGGGAGAAGGAAGAGAGGACGGGTGTTACTTTTCTTAGGCATAGACATCAGCTGGGTGCTTATTTTACATCACCCATAGAAATGAGTTATGATGGTGTCAAAAAACTACCACCAATCTACCACAATTTTCTTTGCACCAGAGCTTTTCAAACTCAAATGTATATCAATAGCAACCGGGGATCTTGTTCAAATGCTGACTTGGACTCAGTGGGACTATAGTAGGGCCTGGATTCTGCATTCCTGACACACCCCCAGGTGATGCGGCAGGCCAGGGTCTGCGTGGTGTGATCCCGGCACCCAGAGCAACACCTCTCAGAAGCTAATTTTACCACGGAGAGTAGAGAGGGAACCCCTTCAACCCCATCTCATTAGGCTCCTGCTTTAATCAGCTGCTGAAGGGGACCAGACTGATGGCTGTGAGCAGCACTGAAGGTCAAATATAAGCTAGGACAGCACTTGCCATGATTGGTGCATATAAAGCTCCAAGGAACCAGAAGAAATACGAAAAAAAAATTCTTAATTAACAGGGAGGAAAAAAAAATCCTACATGTTCATCTTAATTAGAGAGTTAATTAACATGAACCAACGAAGCACAGAGCAGCCCCTCAGCCTCAGGCAAAAGCCTTCTAGAGGACACTAGGGTTCCCTCCCTGAGAAGAGGGTCCCAGATTCTCTTCAGATCCCTGCACTGGGGACCCAGTGAAGGCCACACACCTTTGCTGGGAAGAAAAGCAGAGGGCCTTCCCCGTCGCTTGCATCATCTTTCCCGCTCTGGTTTTATCTTGGAAGCCTTGGGATCGGAGGAATTTTCCCAGTTCGTTTTCTTCTTGAGACAAGACTGATGAGGAAAAGACCAAAAGGAACCATGAACAATGAGCATGGTTGGGACAAAGAGAACGAGAAAGACAAATCACAAGGTCCTCTCTCTTCCAGAGGCTAAGGCGAGCTGAAATTAAATCCCAGAAGCAGGCTACAAGGTAAGTCCCCACCCCCACCCCCATTGAACTGTCTTCCCCTTACAATGCGAGAGATCACATTCCCGTGAATGCATCTGTCAGGGAGTCGGGGCCCTGCCATCAGGACCAGAAAGTGACCTCTGTCCTGAAAAGCGAGCCTGCAATGTGCGCTTGGAGCTGAAATAAAGGAGTTGGGTTTGTCGAGTCTTAACTGTGGGAATCTTTTGTGGCTGCCCAGGATGCTGGGCAAGCTGCCTCCTGTTCCTCTCTCCCGCTGACTTTTTGATCTCTGCTTTCTGAACTACATTCTGCTCCTTTGTAAAGCAATTCAAATACCTCATCCATGACACAGGTTTATAAAGGTTGGAAGTGGGGGCGGGACTGAGGGTGGGTCCTGCATCAGGATGATGACTTGGTGGAATTTTAAAATGCAGAGCTGGAACCAAATCTGAATTGGTTATGCCTGAACATGGCCTTGTTTTTAAAGACCTCAGATGGCATTACTGGTGAGAAAGTGACTTGGTACAAGCTTTTTATAGGTTGATTTTGGTGGTACACATAACAAAGTCATAAGACGGCACGTATATTTTGACATTGCACTTCTGTTAGGACTACATCCCAAGGAAGTAGTAAAAGCATACAAAGATGGGAATGCAAAAATAATCTTAGTATATTATTTTTTTTATCTTTTTTGGGGGGTAGAGACGAAATCTTGTTATGTTGCCAAGGCTGGCCTCCACTCCTGGCATCAAGTGATCCTCCTGCCTTGGCCTTGCAAAGTACTGGGATTACAGGAATGAGCCAATGTTCCCAGCCTAGCATTATTATATATAACAGAAAAACACTCTTTCCTTATACTAGGGACTCATTTAATAAAATACAGTACACCCACATAATGAACAATGGGAGTCCTGAACACACACCCACAGATGAGCTGTAGGCACCAGAGTGACACTTAGCTTCTGAGATATATATATTTTTTAATTGGGGTCTTACTGCATTGCCCCAGCTGGAGGGCAGTGGCACACTCATGGTCACCCCAGCGTCGATCTGCTGGGCTCAGGCAATCCTTCCACCTCAGCCTTCCAAGTAGCAGGAACTACAGGTACGCGCTACCATGCCTGGCTAATTTTTTGATTTAATAGAGATGAGGTCTCATCATGTTGCCCAGGCTGGTCTTGAACTTGTGGGCTAAGGCAATCCACTCACCTCGGCCTCCCAAAGTGTTGGGATTACAGGCAGAGCCACCAAGCCCAGCCAAGATGTATTTGTTCCCTAAACACAGCATTTACTGTTGACATACCTTGAATGCTACTTTTATTTCCTGCTTCTCTTTTTTTTTGAGTTGGAGTCTCACTCTGTCGCCCAGACTGGAGTGCAGTGGCCGCTCCCGGCCACCGCAGCCTCGACCTGATGGGCTCCAGCGATCCTTCTGCCTCAGCCTTCCAAGTAGCCAGAATTACAGGCGTGCGCTACCACACCCAGCTAATTTTTTTTTGATTTATTGTAGAAATGAGGTCTCGCCTGCCCAGGCGGGTCTCGAACCCGCGGGCTCAGGCAATCCACTCACCTCAGCCTCCCAAAGGCGCGGGATTACAGGCTGAGCCACTGAGCCCAGCTTATTTCCTGATTCTTAATGGATGTATTTACACATCATGTATCTCTAAAACTGCTTTCTAAATGCTACCGAGATTCTTGTTGGTTTTCATGAGCCAGTCAGGCTTCCTTAAGAATGCATTCCATGCCTGACACAACCCCTCTGGCACCAGCTTTAGGATGCTGGCAAGAACCATGAATCCAGAGGTGGAGGCTAAACTCAATACAACTTCCTTATTCGTTTGTGACTATAGTTCACTCTAAATAGTCTCCTGGGAGGGCCTAGTCATGGAGAGGTTTTTAGAATCCATTTTTCCTGAGAAATCAATGACAACCCTGCATCCTCTTCTGTCTCTCCAACACCAAGTTCACTGGTCAAAAGTCAGCTCAAAGACTACTTCCTCTGGGATGCAGCTGATCAGTTAATTCCTATTTTGCTGGACAGCAATGCCCTCTGGGCATCCACTTTGGCACTTAGCATGCCAAACCCATGTGAGTGTGAGTGATGGGCACATGTCTACCCTTCCCAGGAGACTCTAGGCATTCTAGGATAGGGACCACATCCAAACCTCCTATTCCTCAGGCTGAGCATAAAGTCTTATATTCATGGCATGCAAAGACTTGTGAAATTGAATTAACTATAATTTTTGCCTTATTATTCTCATATACTTTATTTCACTGTTATGCCATGGTTCTATGTAGCTTTAAAAAATGGTTCCTATAATTTGGTAGGGTTGGGCACAGTGGTTCACGCCTGTAATCCCAATATTTGGGAGGCTGAGGCAGGAGGATTGCTTGAGCACAGGAGTTTCAGACCAGCCTAGGCAACACAGCGAGGCCCTAACTCTACAAAAAATAATTTAAAAATTAGCTGGGCATGGTGGCATGCACCTGTAATCCCAGCTACTTGGGAGGCTGAGGCAAAGGACTGCCCGAGCCCAAGAGGTTGAGGCTGCAGTGAGCCATGATCCTGCCACTGAACTCCTGTCTGGGCAAAAAAGTGAGACCACAACTTAAAAAAAATTTTTTTTCTGTAATTCTAATAAGGTTTTTTGTTTAGTACCTTCTATTCCTTCTTCTCTCCAATGACTAATACGTGACTCACTCCATTCCACAACGACTCTTTTCCTATGGAGAGTAATGTCCATGTTTGTTTCTAATAGCACAAGGCTATTGTCATCTTTCTTACCCTGAAGCCTCAAGTCACATACAAATACTTCAGACTAGGAAGAAACCAATTCATGGTTCCAGAATGATTACCTGGTTGGTGAAATGTGCTCTTTCCTAAACAAACTTAAGTAAGTTGAAGAATTTGAAATAATTTTTGGTCACTATATGCACTTGAGGATTACACTTGGGTGGTAAGCAGGTTGCCTTTTATTTGCTGACTCTCATTAACTGGCAATGCCACTTGAAGGGCAGTGGAACAAAGTGCGAGACCCATTAGGTCTGGTTGGTAGCGTGGTGGGCAAGGATGAATGTGGCTGGTGAGGTGAGCTGGTGACAGCTTGTGTCCTATCTATAAGCCATGGTATAGGAGTGTGGATTCTACCTTTAAGTGCTACTGAAGGCTTTTAAAAGCGGGGAGCAGTATGATCCAATTTACACTTATGAAACCTTTTATTTTTAAATAATGTTAGATTTATAGAAAAATTACAAATAGTATGGAGTTCTTGTATATCCTTCTCCAGCATCAATATGTACATATTTTTAAAAATTTTTATTTTTTTTTTGAGTTAGGGTCTCACTCTATCACCTGGAGTGCAGTGGCATGATCATGGCTCACTGCAGCCTTGACCTCCTGGGCTCAGGCAATCTATCTTTCCATCTCAGCCTCCCAAGTAGCTGGGACTACAGGTGTATACCACCATGCCCAGCTAATTTTTTGATTTTTTTGTAGCGACGTGGTCTCACTATGTTGTATAGGCTGGTCTTGAACTTCTGGGCTCAAGCAATTCCCTCGCCTCAGTCTCCCATAGAGCTGGGATTACAGGCATGAGCCATTGTGCCTGGCCTTGTCCCTTAATATGTACCTTATGTAACCATGGGACAGTTATCAAAACTAGAAAATCCACATTGGTATGGTACTATCAACTAACCTATAGACTTTATTTGAATTTTATCAGTTTTTCCACCAACATCCTTTTGTTTTTGTTCCAGGATCCAATCCTGGGTCTCACATGGCATCGAACTACTGAGACCCAGGATGTCTTTCATAACTTTGACAGCTTTTGGGTCCCAGTCAGCTCTTTTTTAGAATGACAAACCCTCAATTTGGGTTTGTCTGATGTCTCCTGATGAGACTGGGGGATGGATCTCTGGAAAGGGTACCACATGGTGAAGAGTTCTTTTCAGTGCATGGATCAGAGTTAAGTGATGTCAGCACCCATTATCGCTGGTGATGTCAGCTTTGATCGCTCAGTTAAGGGAGATGTCTGATGGGTTTCTCCATTGTAAGGTTATAACCTTTCCCTTGTATAATTAATTAACTTCTTGGGGGAAATTCATGAGACTATGCAAATACCCAGTTTCTCCTCAAACTTCACTCACTAAGGGTAACACGCTTCAGTAAATCTCACATGCCACAATTCTCATTGTGGTGTTTTCCAAATGGTGATTTTGTGGATCCCTTGTTCTTTCTATTAAATAAATGAACTAGAATTATTTTTTTTAATTTTTTTTGAGTTAGAGTCTCACTCCGTCACCCAGACTGGAGTGCAGTGGCCGCTCCCGGCTACCGCAGCCTCGACCTGCTGGGCTCCGGCGATCCTTCTGCCTCAGCCTTCCAACTAGCTGGAACTACAGGTACGCGCTACCACGCTTGGCTAATTTTTTATTTATTGTAGAGATGAGGTCTCGCCAAGTTGCCCAGGCGGGTCTCAAACCTGCAGGCTCAGGCAATCCACTCACCTCAGCCTCCCAAAGTGCTGGGATTACAGACTGAGCCACCGAGCCCGGCCTTAGAATTATTTTATGAGGAAGGGTTGTCCCTGCTCAACTGTCTCGCTCTCTGGCTGTCCGTCTGTCCATTTGTTCATCCATTCATCCATTCATCCATCATCTCCAAATAGAAGGGATGTTTATTTTCTTCTATGGGCTATTATTTGATACTACTATTATTTGTTTTGTTGCTCAAATTGTGCCAGCTTTGAGCACAGATTTACCAGAGTACAGTTCGTATCCAGCTAAAAATAGTTTTCCAAAATAACTGAGGTTAGTCCTTTTTTTCTCCACTCTAGTGAGCGCGATGCTGTTTCCCATTTGTAATGCAATTAAGTCCATTTGTTACCATTTATATTCCATTTCAGATGATCCCACATGTGGTTGTGTTTAAGTATTTTCGAATACATGAAATATTGATTGTGGTTTTTTGTTTTTTGTTTTTGAGTCAGAGTCTCACTCTGTAACCCGGGCTGGACTGCAGTGGCATGGCTACTGCAGCCTCGACCTGCAGGGCTCAGACAATTCTTCCAAGTAGCTGGAACTACAGGTGCATGCCAACACACACGGCTAATTTTTTGATTTATTGTAGAGACGAGGTCTCACCAAGTTGCCCAGGCTAATCTTGAACCCCATAGCTCAGGCAATCCTCTTGCCTCCACCTCCCAAAATGCTGAGATTACAGGCTTGAACCACCATGCCCAGCCTATTGACTGCAGGTTTTCAGAGTCAGAGCTTCCAGAAGGTATCTCGGAGGCAAGGCTCCCTCCTCCCCTCTGCTCCTCGGTTCTCATTCCCTCCTAATCTCCAAGTCTCCCCACCCCAGCCCTCCCATATCCAATCTCTTTGGTTTCTGTTTTATCCTTACTGAATTTCTTTTGCACAAAATGATTAGCCCACATGTGTGTGTGTGTGGGGGGGTGTATTGCCTTCTTTTTTGCATTTGTATTTTATCATATCACTTTCCTGCTGGCGTGAGGGACAGCATGGTATAGATATGCTTTTGTGGTTTGCTTCTTTCACTTAAGAGTCTGCCCTCAAAATCATTCTGTATTAGTTCAGAGAGTTTCCCCATTTTGTTCTTCGGCAGCTGCATAGCCACACCCTGAAATTAACCACACTATGTTTAGCCCGCCATCCAACTTGGGAGCCCTTTACAGTTCAGGCGGGCAGAACTCCTCCTTCCCATTGCCACTGAGATCGCACGGTTCACATGAGCCTCGGGGGAGGGCACAGAAGGGCTAATTCCACCACCGCAGCCCAGCTTCACTGGCACAGCCAGATGACTGCACCAAGGGGAGAGGTATTGTTCTGACCCTTACATTCCAAGAGAATGATAAGCCTTGATGGTGTTCAATCAGAATTCTATTAATTAATCTGATGTGCTTCAGAGGGGAAGGTCTTTCTCAATATTCTATTCAAAATATTAATATAAATGGAAAGCATAATTTATGTTCAGAGAATCATCATTTACAGAAAATATACAAGTATTCATCTTTTCTTCCCTTGTTACAATATGCATAGTTCAATGAAAAGGAGGCACACTGAGCTTCGTGTGACTGTCCTTAAAAAGTTAAAGTTGGCTGGGCACGGTGGCTCAGCCTGTAATCCCAGCACTGTGGGAGGCTTAGGCCTGAGCCCAGAAGTTTGAGACTAGCTTAGGCAACTTGGTGAGACCTTGTCTCTACAATTAATCATAAAACTTAGCCAGGCGTGGTGGTGTGCATCTGTAGTTTCAGCTACTTGGAAGGCTGAGGTGGAAGGATCACCTAAGACCAGCAGGTCAAGGCTAGGTGGCCATGAGTGTGCCACTACACTGCAGCCTGGGTGACAGAGTGAGACTCCAACTCCAAAAAAAAAAAAAAGAAAGAGAAAAAAGTTAAAGTTATCATTTTCAAAATATCTTTTGTTTCCTACCACACAGGAGAGAAAATGATTCATTTTACAATGAGTATTAGGAGCACAGGGTCAAGTAGAAGGGAATTTGACCAATAATTCCCCCAACACAGGATAATCTGATCAGGTTGAAAAGCAAACTCTGAGTGTACACACATATACATACCTAGTTGGTCAAGCCTACTACACACCTAGGCTATGTGGGATGGCTTATTGCTCCTAGCTACAAACCCATCCAGCATGTTATAGTCCTGAACACTGTAAGGGAGTGTAACACAAGGGTAGTTGTGCATCTAAACACAGAAACGGTATAGTAAAAATACAGTATTATAATCATTTGGGACCACAATTGTATGTTGTCTGTCATTGGCTGAAACATTGTTATATGGTCCATGACTATGTATGTGTGTGTATATATATATGAAGGGGACTCCAAAAAAACTGGAATTTCCTTTTGGAGGGTGGGCCCCTTGTAGTATAGGATTCCCCTGCTAGGTAAGCGTTCTAGGCACCCATTGGTACCAACTAGCATTGTTGTCACGGGTTGCGTTTGGCTTTAGTGAAATTTTTTTTTTGAGCTCTTTCAGTGTGTTCGCCCATTTCATGATGGGAGATTTATGAGTGCACCTACCCACACCATGCCGAGTGTTCAGGAGTTTTTGACCCCAAACGGCATGACCCCTATGCCCTACCCTCCCTATTCACCTGATCTCGACCTGAGCAACTTTTTTTTGTTTCCCCAATGAAAAAAGTCCTCAAAGGGAAACGTTTTGCCGATGTGGAAGAGGTGAAACTAAAAACAGCAGAAGCACTAAAAGGCATCAAAATTGACAAGTTCAAAAACTGTTTTGAGCAGTGAAAAAATGTGTCTTTCTTGGTGTACTGTATCCAACAGATAGTACTTTGAAGGTAACTGACGTTTAAACAAGTATAAATATACAATTTTTTATAAATAAATTCTGGGGTTTTTTGGTTCCCCCATAACACACACACACGTTCACATATATATGCCTAAACATATATTTACTTGGTAAGCACCAGCTTCCCAAAAGCTGTCAGCTAGCCATTTTTTGGGTCACATTTTCTATCTTTCTAGGTCAAAAACTTTCTTTGACATTTTGTAAGAACTTTTACTTTAAAAGTTTTAAATTAATATATCTTAGTTACACATTTTTTTTAAGTACATGTGATATTCTGGTAACTGTGTACAAAGTTTGGTGATCAAATCAGGGTAATTGGGATATTCATCACCTCAAACATGTATCTTTTCTTTGTGTAGGGAACATTATGGTTCTTCTCTTCCATTTATTTTGAAATACACAAGTTATTAATTATAATTTCAAAAAATTAAAAAATAATAAAAGCACCCTCTGATTATAGTGTAGACAGGCTAGAGAGAGAGAGATGGAGAAAAGATCAGAAGTCAATTTAGTCAACCAAGTGAGAGTGATTGATGGTGGTGGCCTGGACGAAGGCAATGGCAGAGAAGATGGAGAGAAGATGAATCTGAGAGCTATTTAGGAGGCAAATGAACTAGCATTTGAGACTGACTGGATGTGGACAGAGAAATGGAGGGTGTAGAGTGGAGTGTCATGTGTTGATTTCCTCATAACTTAAGATCTTGGAGTTGTCCAGGCATGGTGGCTCACACCTGTCATCCCAGCAATTGGGAGGTGGAGGCAAGAGGACTGCCTGAGCCCAGAGGCTCAAAACCAGCCTGGGCAATTTGGTGAGATCTTGTCTCTATAATAAATTAAAAAATCAGCCAGGTGTGGTGGCATGCACCTGTAGTTCCAGCTACTTGGAAGGCTGAGGTAGAAGGATACCCTGAGCCCAGCAGGTCGAGGCTACAGTAAGCTGTGATTGTGTCACTGCACTCCAGCCTGGGTGACAGTGAAACTCAGACTCAAAACAAAAATAAAAACAAAGATCCTGGCATTGGAGCCTGGGGGATGTCTTAGCTCAAACACCTAGTAGATGTTAACACAGATAATTTATAAAATACTGCCTCTAAGTACTATGATTTTGATCTTTCCCCAAATAGTTGTTTTAATAAAATATTTTACTAATATAGAAAAATTACCAACTGTTAATTTGTGATTATTAGAAGGGGGTCTGGCAGCATTGGCAATAAAAAGACAATAAAAAGCTAGTGTAGTCTCAAAAGCATCAAATTATACTATTAAATGACCTACATATAGAAATTTAGAAAAATATTAAGACACAACTTGATATTCAGCATTTCAGAGATATCCTTGCTGGGAATGCTTTTAAGACAGGATGGCCATATGAAAACACTATTCCCTGGGAACCTAATATGTTCATGTTCATGAAGTAATGAAGTAATGTCACCAAATGTCATCAACCAATTACCTGTGCTTTTTCTCTCCATTTGTCATTTTAAAATGAATAAAACTGGATATAAGAGAGCCAGGGTCATCAGGAAAAATAACTCAAAATTTAAAAGCCTAAGATATAGAACTGAGAACACTTTATAATTGGGAAAATGACATGTCCATATCCATGGGAGGTCCAACACAAAACTCCCCTGACACCACTTTGAAAGATAAATAGCCTGTGTAATTTATTAGTAAAAATTATTAGAGATTCTGCTCTCTGTCATCTAAAGGGCACAGATAAACACCCTAAGTAGTTTCCTAAATAATGATATACTAAGGCAAAATACCCTATTTTTTTTCTTATTGTCTATTTAATCAACATTCAACTTATGGCATACTTACAACATATCCTCTTTTGATAGAGTACAATTGCTTTTGATAAGTCCAAACAGGTTCTCTGAATTGAGTGAAACAGCTGTAACAAAAACAAAAACACAATGCAAAATACAACAGACAGTAGTGAAATAAAAAATAACTATAATTTCACACGGCGAAACAGCCTAAAAAATAATAATAATTCATTAAAAACAACCACAGTGTTTGATTTTCCCAACAAAAACTAGATCACATGTGTAAGTTGTACTTAATGTTAGGTGGTGTACTATAGAGAGACCATGACCAAAGCCTTTAAATATGCTCCCACCATTCTATAGTGATTGGAACTCATCATCTCTATAATCTAAATTAAGATCTACAGAACAATAATTTCCTCCAGACTACTGAAATCATGGCTAAAAAACAGAAATCCCAAGTGAAGGGCCCAGTTAGAGGACTTGGTAAACCAGAGACTCAATATGCATTAATTATCCAATTTCTTCCTTTCACCACTTGCTGCCTTTTTTTGTAAATGGAGGATCTGTCAGTTATCAAATTTAAAAGATGACATTAACTTATTTTGTGATCCTACTGTATTTTATGGCCTGCTTAAACATCTGGGTAAGCCAAGCAATAATCAATCAGTTGAATGTACTGTCTGGAAGACATCTAATAATGTGGAGCCGGCAGCCCTATCACTCCTAATTTTTCCAACAATTTCATAAAATATACAGAGAGATGACCTAATGTTGTGCTATGGCCATTCTAGAGGAAATTGGGGGAGTGGCAGATGGGGTGCCCTGAGAAAACCCTGACTAGATTTCAACTCATGGTGGATCAGTTTTGGCTTCAGAAATCAAGGAAACTCAAGGAAAGACACAACATATTTCACGCTTTCACTACCCTCTGTCCACTGACTTGGAGACAGGGATAGCATCCATGAGAAAGCCCAGCAGACACACAGCCTGCCCTGCAGAGCCACTCAGTGAGGCAGGGCAAGCTTCTCCCTTCCTCTCCCCTAGTGTCCTGGTCATGTGATATAGAAATTATGTCCTACTGTCATAAAGCATTTCATATTTGAAATGATCCAGCTGGGCATGGTGGCTCAAGCCAGTAATTACAGCACTTTGGGAGGCCGAGGCAAGAGGATTGCCTCAGTTCAGCGGTTCGAGACCAGCCTGGGCAATTTGGCAAGACTTCGTCTCTATAAAAAAATTTAAAAATTAGCTGAGTATGGTAGCGCATGCCTGTAGTTCCAGCTGCTTGGAAGGCCGAGGCGGAAGGATCACTTGAGCCCAGTAGGTCGAGGCTGCAGTAGCTGTGAGCATGCCACTGCACTCCAGCCTGGGTGACAGAGTGAGATTCCAACTCAGAAAAAAAAAAAAAGAAATTATATGCTTCATGATAAATATGACCAAATTATCTAATACAAATGGATGCATGCATATATCCCTAGAAGATCAGAGACCATTCCTAGGAATACTTAATTTGATAAAACTTGGTCATAAATAATATAAATGTACGAATTCTCATTTCATTAAGTTGCATCCTCCACCTGTTTAGAAAAGGAAAAAACACACCCTTTGGAACCATAAGAGAAACAGAAAGTCATCAGTCTGGATCCTCCCCAGTAAATACTTGATGGTAGTATTTTGTGTCAGAAACCTACACTAATATTTCCTGGATATAGGAGCAAGGAGGTTCAATGTGGAACTGTTCTATTGTTACTGTTCACTCTTTAAAAACTGAGGTATAAACTAAATGCAATAAAGGGCACAGCTCTGAAGTGTTTGGTTCTGTGAAATTTGATGACTGTATACATTCATGTAACCACAGCCTTGGCAAGATGAGAATTATTTTCATCATGGTCAGTTCACTCTGCCATGGCAAAGTGACTCTGGCAGAAAGACTTCTGTCACCAGAGATTAGTTTTGTCTGTTCTTATACTGAGGAAATCTTTTTGAGAAAAGAGATTATTAACAAGCAATGTGGAGAAATACTAGAACTCAGCACAACATTTCTAGGTTAACTTTCCAAAGGATTGCAATAGAATCTGACCAACACTGTAGCTTGGCACATGTTTCCTGTGCCAACAGAATGAAACGTCTTTGCTATAAGCTAGCCTCAATGGATAATTCAGGGTGAGAATGCATCCAAATGGTTTACATATCATTTTCATATGCTTGTTGATGGAATCCACTGTCTCCATAAACATCAGTATCAACATTTCTGCAACAGAAACCTCTACCATGTGTAAAATTCTTAGTCACAGCTAAGCACCCTGGATGCTACGTGCTTAGGACAGCAGCTATTTTGAGTAAGTACAGTCGGTTCAGTAAAAAGTGCTGCTACAAAAGCCTACACATAGTGCATAGTATACTTGTAATTAATAAGTATAAATTACTTTGTGAATAATGCTTATGTTGACCAGGAAGAAAAAAGCTATGAGATATCCAAAGCACACATAACCTCTAATAATTTATACTCTTAGAACACAAAAATCGGAATAGATGTTTTTCAGTTCAACTTTTCTCCCTTGTAGGAATTTCTTTGAGAACTTCCTTGTCAAATCCAGGCTCTATGACAATATTTCCAAGCATAAAAGGAAAGACAAGGTTGGGAACGGACATTAGCTGCACCAACACCTCCACTTCTCCAGCTGGCACTTCCTGCTTGTGCACTGTGTGTGGAGCTGGGGAGACAGCGGGGATCAGGCTAGCATGGAATTTGACCCCACAGTGGAGGGAAGGCAGGCAAATAAACCAGTACCTGGGATAATGTCACAGGAGGTGATAGCTATCAGTCATGTATCAGATGGCGAGTTGGGGTGGCGTGGGTGGGGAACAGAGGTAGACAGTGACTTGAGACAGTGACTGTGGGCTGAGGCCTGAACTAGGAGAAGGAGCCTGTCAAGGGAAGGTCTGAAAAAAGAGTGTCCAGGTAGGACACAAGCAATGCTCTGATGGGTGTGATCTTGCCTGGCCATGGACTGAGAGCTTAGACAAGACCATATGGTTGGAGGGTGGCGGGGATGGTGTAGCGCGTGGAGAGGATCTCTGAACAGGGAGGCAGGGCCAGCATGCCAGGAGTTCTGCTGTGTGCTAGACATACTGTATAGAAAGCAGTCTGAGTGGTGCTGGGCCATAATATGCAGTCAATAAGCATCAGCCATCACTCAGTTACCTAATGAGAATTGCAGAGTCAGGGTCGTTCTCCCAAGGTTACCACAGCTGTAGGTGTAACAGTGGCTCAGATCTGTGTGAGGGGGCATCCTGGACCCCAAGGGCTGCCCACCTCTTCACATTCCAAAGCTCTTCCCGGGTCTGGTCGACTCTCACATGTGTAGAATGATTCTTATCCCTCTTCCACATGACAGACCTTCCCATGTAGTTGACAACTAACATGTGTCCCTTTAGCCCTTTCTGGAGCTAATCATGATTTTCACCGCCTTGGTTACCCTTCTGGAAAGCTTTTTGAAATCTTGGGTTTTTTATCTTAGTCCCATTCAATGTTCAGCTCATTGACTTTAATTTATATATTAGTTTCTGAGATAATTTTGACACCTTACAGGACCATCTAACATATTACTCCTCTCAGCGCCCTGTTATTCACAGAAGTAGTGAGTACGCTTTCAAAATTTTAATCTGAACCATGGCAGAAATGTTCACACAAAGTTAGTGGGCCTTCTACCAATTATATTAATACTCTAGCTCAACTATGAATCCAGCTTACTGTATCATTGATTAGTCTAACTAAATATCTGCTTAGTTAATTTATTCTAGAATTTTCCAGCACTCAATACCAATCTTATTAGACTCTACTTTCCAGGATATTTTAACTTGAGTTCTTAAAAAGAAAAAGTTAAAAAAGGAAATTTTTGCCTGATCCTAAGTCTTCTGAAATCAATCCAATTCTGATTCCTCAGAGATCACCAGCAGCAGCTCTTGGATTGCATTAATTTTTCCAACAAACATTTATTGAAAATGTACCACACAACAGGTATTCCAACTAAGTTCTTGGAATACAAATGAACCGAGACACAGTGGTTACATGAGAATCTGTAGGTTTAAGAAAATGTGTTGGGATTGAATCTACCTGATTCCAGACCTTCTTCATTTTCAAATATAAAGCCCACCTAGGCCTGCCCGGGTGAGCAGCTCTAGGACCTGGACCCCAACAGGAGGTTGGACTGGGGCTGAGAGCAAAACAGAACTCACCTCTAGCTTGGCATCTAGGTCTGCGTCGGAGGCAACGACATGTTCATCTTCCTTCTTCCCTGTGGCTTTAATAAAGGCCTGCTTCGTCTCCCAATATTTCTGCTGCATCTTATTTACAACTGACTTGTCTTGAGCGTATCGATCCTGTAAATCCCAGGAATAACTGCTAAAAAAACATTGAAAGAGTCATTTTATTAATGACTAACATAAAGATTGAGATATTTTATTTTATTTACTTTTAAACATTTGAGTTGGAGTTTCACTCCATTGCGCAGGCTGGAGTGCAGTGGCACGCTCACTGCCACCCCAGTGTCGACCTGTTGGGCTCAGGTGATCCTTCTGCCTCAGCCTTTCAAGTAGCTGGAACTACAGGTATGCGCTACCACATTCGGCTAATTTTTTGATATTTTGTAGAGACAAGATCTCACTAAATTGCCCCCGCTGGTCTTGAAACCTTGGGCTCAGGCAATCCTCTCGCCTCAGCCTCCCAAAGTGCTCAGATGACAGGCTTGAGCCACCATGCCTGGCTAAACATTTTAAATAGAGATAGGGTCTCGATGGGTTGCCCAGGCTGGTCCCAAACTCCTGGACTCAAACGATCCTCCTGCCTCAGTCTCCCAAAGTGCTGGGATTACAGGTGTGAGCCACCATGTCCAGCCAGGATTAAGATATCTTAATGTGAAAGGACTTAACTAAACAAGACTTTCCATTACACATTTACATCTTCACCATTAATATACATATAAACACTTTCTTATTTGGTTATTACACCAAGAAAGTAAATCAACTGTTTCTGACTGACTCCAAATTCTTGAAAGTTAGAATGAGAAAATTTTCAATTTTTTGCAGGAAATCAAGAAACTAAACTCTGAAGAGCATTTAGATATCAACAAGTTGGACACATTCTTTTCAGAGGCGGAGAAAGTGAGTCTAAGCCAGGTGGATGACGGCTCAAGGCACCCTAGTGAGTCAGAGATAAGGCTGACACCAACACCCTGTCCCCACTGCATTGTGACAGCCAACACCGAGGTGACAGGCAGAAAGCAGAGATAAGGGACTGAAGGACAGTCTTTTGGATGGAGCTGGAGAACATCATTCTAAGTGAACTAACTCAGGAACAGAAAAGCAAACATCACATGCTCTCACTTATAAGTGGGAGCTAAACTAAGGGTCTGCAAAGACATAGAGAATGGTATGATGGACGCTGGAGACTTGGGGGCAGGAAGGAAGGGGTGGGACAAAAAAATCACCTATCAGGTACAATGTACACAGACAAAGGTAGAGAGCACATGTACAGCCCAGACCAAAAACTATTTATGCCCCCTAAAGTTATTGAAATAAAATAATATTAATAAAATCGATTGCAGAGGAGTCCAACCTAGTCAAACTAGGCTGGGTGTGATGGTTCATGCCTGTAATCCCAGCACTTCCGGAGGCCAAGAAGGGACGAATGCTTGAGCCTAGGAGTTTGAGACCCACCTGGGCAACATAACAAGACCTTGTCTCTCTTTAAAAAAAAAATGCTGGGTGTGGTCATGCATGCCTGTAGTCCCAGCTACATGGGAGGCTGAGCTGGAAGGATAACTCAGCCTAGGAGGTCGAGGCTACAGTGAGATATGAGCATGCCACTGCACTCCAGCCTGGGCAAAAGAGTGACACTCTGACTCAAAAAATAAAATAAAATAATCAAACTCACTGAAGCAGAGTAGAATGGTGAAGCCCAGTGGCTTTGAGGGAGGGGAAATGGGAAATTGCCCATCAAGGGACTGGCACTGAGTTCCAGAGCTCTGCTGGACATTGTGTCTATTGCTGGCAACACTGTGTTGTGCACTTAGAAATGTGTTAGGAGGGCAGATCGTATGTCAAATATTCCTACACAATAAGATAAATTTAAATTTAAATCTGTTACAGGTGTCTGATGTTAAAAACTTCAGATTCCTCAACAGAAATGCTAAAATGCAAACAGAAAGCTATTCTTCATAGTGAAGAGCAATTCAAAAAGTACTTGGAGAAGAAATTGGAAACAAAATTAATCAAAAATGAAAATGGAGTTCTGGAAAAGTGATTCGAGTGCCCCCAAATACTGATGGGAAGTTTGCTGCTGGCATGCCGCCCCTCCCCTGTCTGTCCATGGCCTCCTCTGATCTCAAGCTGCTGCCTTATGAGCCCACCCTGGGCCCCCAGGAAACTCCCCTCTTCAGATACGAGCCTTCTCCGACTCCATGCCACCATCACCCAGAATGTGCCAGACTTACATCCTCAAACATGGGTTGCTTTATACTACAATGGTATCTCAAAACTTGATGATGTATATTCTCCTTAATTTATAATTTCATTACATTTACAATTTGTAATTCACGCATATCTATTTTTAAAAAGTCAGAAGGTGTTTTCCCTAACAATGGTTATCTTTGGAGAGACAAGTAGGATTAAGGGAGACTTTTATGGTATGCTTTATATCTTTCTGCAATGTTTAAAAGGCTTCCTATGAGCTTGTATTAGAGAAAATAAGATAAAAATATGTATAACATTTATGGAAAAGATAATCTCTCTCTAGAACATGCACATTAAAAGACTAGAAAGATATACCCCAAAGATCATGGTTATTTCAGGGAATGAGGTTCTCAAGAGTGAGGTATAGGATGGATTTCTTTGTAATATATATTATATATAATACATGTAATACATATATAATTTTCCCCCAAAGATCACAGATTAACTAAAAAAAAAAAAAAATCTAGTGAACACTCCTACCCCATATCATTTAACAAATTAGGAATCTGAAGTTTCAAAATATTTACAGCTGGGCATAGTGGCTCACACCTGTAATCCCAGCACTTTGGAAGGATTGCTTGAGTCTAGGAGTTCAAGACCAACCTGGGCAACACAGTAAAACCTCATCTCTACAAAAATTCAAAAAATTGGCCAGATGTGGTGGCACACACCTGTAGTCCTAGCTATTCGCGAGGCTGAGGCAGAAGAATCACCTGATCCCAGGAGGTTGAGGCTGTGGTGGGCTATGTGCCACTGTATTCCAGCCTAGGCAACAAAGTTAGATCCCCACTCAAAAAAAAAAGGTTAAGAAGCTTGCTGAAAGTCATACAGGGTTAAAACGCAGGCATCTAAATTCAAGTGCAGTGCTCATTTCAATGTGCACACAGTCCTGGCATGTCAGAAACAAGCTATGCCGTGGAGCAAGTAGGAGAGAGAAGTTTGGGAAATGGTCCACTGTGTGGGGCTCTCTAGGCTCTCTTAGGGGAGGAACCATTCTTTGAGCCTGCTGCCAGGACAGGACAGCCACAGAGGGACACAGGATGGAGATAGTCACTGTCACAATGAGGCCAGATGGAACAACTAAGAAAAATGTTCCAAGTCTGATAACTTTTAGAGAACTGATACTCGAGGAATTTTTTTTAACTCAGGGAAATTAAACCCCTTAGCCATGTAATAGTTACTTAAAAAAAAAAACCTTGCATTTTAAGACATGCAGACATTATTCAAAGTTTGACATTTGATGTTACAGAGGACTCAGGCCTGATGGCTGCTCTATGGAGAGAGGAGGCATTTAAAAGTATATTTCCCATCCTAATTACATGTTTATTTGAAAAATAAAAATATGTACCTCATTTTTCTCAAGCTACAAATTAAGGAAGGAAAACCTGACAAAGATCTGCTTGTGTAGTGGGTCACAGATTCAAAGAAATTCTGAGCCGGGCTCGGTGGCTCAACCTGTAATCCCATGCCTTTGGGAGGCTGAGGTGAGTGGATTGCCTGAGCCCGCGGATTCGAGACCCGCCTGGGCAACTTGGCAAGACCGCATCTCTACAATAAATAAAAAATTAGCTGGGTGTGGTAGCGCGCGCCTGTAGTTCCAACTACTTGTAAGGCTGAGGCCTTGGAAGGATTGCCGGAGCCCAGCAGGTCGAGGCTGCAGTGGCCGGGAGCGGCCACTGCACTCCAGTCTGGGTGACAGAGTGAGACTCCAAATAAAAAAAAAAAAAAAAAAGAAATTCTGAAACCTTCTTGAAGAGTTCTGGAACTCAGGAGAGACATAACATGCTACTCAGATGCGTTACAGGCATGTAATTGTCAGAGCTAACACTGCCATATAATTATCACAGCTATTGTATTCAGAATCATACACTTCCAACCATGACTAGCTCCAGAGTGTTCAAGAAAATTGAAGACATGACTATAAATTAGTAAATCCGAGTAGTGTGTGGTTGCAGAATCATTCCTTATTTTATAGCTACCCTAACATAAAATTCCCTTATAACTCTGCTGTTAGAACTTATAAATAAGACAGTGATAAAAAAAAATGCATCAACTCATCACATTAGACAAAATGGTGGTAAGAAAAACTATCATTAGCTTCCCAAGAGAAAAGTTATACATAAATGTATTTCTTAGAGAATACACATTAGATAAGAATTTACAGGCCACGTGCGGTTACCCACACCCATAATCCTAGCACTTTGGGAGGCTGAGGTGGAAGGACTGCTTGAGCCCAGGTGTTCCAGACCAGCCTGGCCAACACTGAGAGATCTCATCTCTACAAAAATTTAAAAAATTAATTAGGCATGATAGTACATGCCTTGAGTCCCAGATACTTGGGAGGCTGAGGCAGGAGGATTGCTTGAGCCCAGAACTCCAGATCAGCCTGGGCAACACAGAGAGATCTTGTCTCTACAAAAAACAGAAAAATTAGCTGGGCATGATGGCATGTGCTTGTAGTCTCAGATATTCAGGAGGCCAAGGTGGGAGGATTGTTTGAGCCCAGTAGTTCGAGGCTATGTAGTAAGCTATAATAATGCTACTGTACTCCAGCCTGGGCAACAGAACAAGACCTTGACTCAAAGACGATTTTATAATATTTTTTATTACTTAGTTTTCATACCATAATTAGTAGGGATACTGAATTTGGCTATATTGAACATCAGAGAGAGGCCAACAGGTTATTTACTTGGTTTTTCCATTCAACAAACATTTATTGAACACATACTATGTGCTTTTCACTTTCCTCAGCCTCTCCCAATTTACAAAAGATGACAAATTACTTACCACTTGTGTCCTGACATGTTTTCCTCTTCTTTTTCTACTGCTGATGATTTGGGGAGAAGGGGCAGGGAAAAAGCATGAGAGGATAAGTTATATTATAACCTGAAATAAAACAAATACGTTTAACGGTTACACACTACATTACAGTGACACATTAATTTGACACATACAAAATTTTTCAACCTAAGCCATTTCTAGCTGTATTTTAGGGGCCAATACTACTACACAGCAATGCTGTACACTAGTATCGAGAACAGTGTAGCTAAGAGCACTGGAAGAAATATCCCAAGTGAAGTTTAACAAGGGAATGGGCAGGTTAAATGAAAACTCAAGTGGCAGGGGACTATATAAAATATGCTGCCATCTATAGAAAGCATCAAAACACAACACAGTACTGGATATCATTGATGTGTACAAATGTTATATTGGAAGGTATAAAGAGACACTTAGGAATGGTGAACACTGAGTTCCAGAAAGCAGACCATGAAGGGGAAAGTGGGGGTGTGATTGCTGACAGGTATACAAGCGGCTTCAACTGCACACATAACCTTCTCTCTGTTAAGCTGGGAAGCAATATATTGCATCTGTATGATGCTTCATAGATTTCAAATATTTTATAATCAATATATACAAGTCTATTTTTTAAAGCTGGGATCCCACTCTGTCTCCAAGGCTGGAGTGCAGTGGCACAATCACAGCTTACCACAGCCTCGACCTTCTGGGTTCAGGTGATCCTCCTGTGTTGGCCTCCCAACGAGTAGCTGGGACTACAGGCATACGCCACCGTGCCTGTCTAATTTTTTGTAGAGAAAAAGTCTCCCTATGCTGCCCAGGCTAGTCTGCAACTCCTGGGCTCAAGCAGTCCTCCCACTTTGGCCTCCCAAAGTGCTGGGATTACAAGTGTGAGTCATCACGCCTGGCCTATAATCAATATTTTAAAGAAATGAACCAGCACATTGCAAAAAAAATAATAACAACCCCCCCACACAATTTTAAAATCCCAAACAAAAACCAAAAAAGAGGGGAGTGGTTAGAATGGGATACCAAGAAGCGCACAAAGGAGGAACATGTGGTATTTACCAGACTTGTGTTGCATTCTCCTCCCGTTAGGAAATATGGTGGTCAGTCATTTAATGCCTCTGCCCTCCTCCATCTGCTCTACTCACGGACGTGAGCCCACCCGGGATGGGGCCAACCCCCAGCCACAACATCCACCCATACTTGCCTAATTGTCACCACAAAGAATGGAGAGCTCGAGACCCCAGATCTCCAAAGCACCAGCTGCCAGAGTGAGCGCCCGCAGCCTACGAACACTCCCGGCTGCCCGACGAAATCAGCCCAATCCTCTCCTTCCATCTCAGAAAGGGCCCTGACCCCCAGCACTCCTACAGTGATTCCAGATTTCCTAAGCTGTTACGAAATGATTTAACGGAGCAAAATTCAGGTGTTGCAATTCCAGGATGAGAATGGGGTTTTCAGAGCGTGTCAGATGCCCCTGAAATGACAGCATCCTGTCCTCAACATCTCTCTTCTGGGCACCCGGGCATTCAGACAGGCTGATGTGAGAATGCCTTTCAGGTGAGTAGGCCCTGCCCTCCACTCGGCGTGGTCATTAGGAAGCCGCCCGTCAAGCACACATGCAACTTTACTGTAAATGCACATTTACTCTATGGAGCACAACATTTTCAACAAAATTTCTCATAAAAAAAAAGATTGTTCAGAAGAAACAGAATGATCATACTTTTTCCTTGAGTTTGATTTCATCATGAACTATTAAGAGAGTTGGTCATTTCTGATTTCTTTTTTTGTTGTTGTTATTGTGATAAAAAACATATTTATTCTCTTAACCCCCTCCCTTTTTTTTTGAAGAGGCAACTCACTCTGTCACCCAGGCTGGAGTGCAGTAGCATGATCATGGCTCATTGCAGCCTTGATCTCTGGGATTCAGGTAGTCCTCTCACCTCAGCCTCTGCAGTAGCTATGACTACAGGTGTGCACCACCATGCCCACCTAAGTTTTTAAATTTTTTATTTTTGTAGAGATGAGATCTCGCCATGCTGCCTAGGCTGGTCTCGAATTTGCAGGCTCAAGCAATCCTCTTGCCACTGTGCCCAGCTTCCCCTTAACCATTTTTAAGTGTACAGTGGTGTTAACTATATGCACACTATTGTACAAACATTTCTAGGGTTTCTTCATCCTCAATGACTGAAACTCTACAGTTACTGAACAACAAACAAGTCCCCGTTGCCCCCCCAAACCTCCCTACTTTTTGATTCTATGAATTTGAGTACTTCAGACACTTCATGGAAGTGGAAACATGTAGTATTTATGTTCTTGCATCTGGCTCATTTCATTTCACTTAGCATAATGCCCTCAAGGTTCATCTATGCTGTAGCATGTGACAGGATTTCCTCCTTTTTTAAGGCTGAATAATATTCCATTGCAGGTACACGTGGCATTTTCTTTGCCCATTCATGTGTTGATGGACATTCTACTTGCTTTCACATCTTGGCTATCGTAAATAAAGCTGTGATGATCACGGGTATACGAGTACAGTAGATGCCACTGAACATCATTGATAGGGTCTTAGAAACTGTGACTGTAAGCACAATGACATACACCAGGCCCTTGAATATCAACTGTTTTGTTCTAAAGTTGATGAGAAAAAAAAAAGGGTTTCATCCCATACCACTTCAAGTCAGTTTCCAAGAAGCTGTCATTGACATTAAGGGAGGACTCCCCGCATCTCTTGGAGATCCTGTTGTCAATTTTTGTGGATAGGTACACCAAGGTGGGACTGCTGGATCCTATGACAGTTCTGTGTCTAATTTTCGGAGGAACCTCCCTACTGTTTTCCATGGCAGCTGCACCATTCCCAAGCACCCTGACAGCGTGTCCCACCATCTCCATAGCCCCACCTCTGGTGTTTTATGACCACCATCCTAACTGTTGCAAGGTGACATCTTATCAGTTTTGGTTTGCATTTCTCTGAGGATTAGTAGTTGATGTTTTGCATCTTTTCATATGTTTTTTGACCACTTGTACATTTTCTTTGGAGAAATGTCTATTCAAGTCCTCTGCCCATTTTAAAATTGGGGGGTGGGGAGTTTGGTTATTAAATTGTAAGAGTCCTTTATTTATTCAGATATGAATCCCTTATCCAAAATATGGTTTACAAATATTGTTCTCTCATTCCATAGGCTACCTTCTCACTCATTGATTCTTTCCCTTACTGTGACTTTCTGATTATTAAAGGACCACATGACTTAAGTTCTTTATAGTGTAAGCTCTTACCATCCCTTACCTACTGAACAAGAATCCCTGGGAATGATTCTGGGAATCTATATTTATAACTGGCTTTGCAAGTGATTCTTAAATATATTAAAGTCTGAGAACCACAGCCAAATGTCACCCAGGAAAAATGGATGGAAGTGGATCTTCCTTGAACCAACTGCTGGACTATGTGGCACTATAGCAAAGAAATCATGAGTGGCCCAAATCAGGTAACTCCACAGGGTGTATCTGAGCGTCCCACAAGAATGCGGTCATAGTCAGTGCTCACAGCTCTTTTTATACACATTTTAATGCCACACACCAGAGAATAAGACTAGGATTAATACACATCTTAAGACTTCCTGACAATCCATTTTGACTTGCTCTGTCACTCAAATCTAGTATCAAAAATCACTACTTTAAAAAACCTCTATAATCCTTACCCATTCATTTCAGTTCAACAATTTGGTTTATCAAACATGCATCAAGCATCTAATGGATGTGTGCCAGGTCCTGCCCCTGGCCTCATGGAACTTACAGTCTAGATCAGTTCTGTCCAATAGAAAAGTACCATGAGCTACATATGTAACTTTAAGTGCTCTAATAGCCATGTTAAAAAAAATTAAAAAGTGAAACCAATTTTAATAATAAATCTCATTTAAGCCAATATGCCTAAATCATTTTCAACATGAAATCAATAGAAAAATTACCTATATTTCACATTCATATTTTTGTACTCAGTCTAAAATACAATGTGTATTTTATACTTTCAGCATATCTCAATTCAAACCAGCCACATTAAGTAGGCAACAGCCACACGGGTTTAACAGCTAAAGCACTGGACAATGCACGTTTAGCAGTAAAGACAGATATACGAAAATAACATTCAGAATCAGGAGACCCTTGACATTTACAAGGGGCATATAATAAGATCACTAATACCCAAACTTGTCAATTCTGCTATAAAATGATCATTTCCTCTGGAAAATGGAGTAAAGTCTATGATTAGCTAATACTTCAACTCATGATTCTGCAATGAAGCTATTTCTCCACTTCTGCCACAAGGCACTTATGAAACAAGCCCAAAATGCATGGTGTCATGTCTCGAGCTTTTTAATGACACAGAGCAATCTTCCTAACATTCTTCTTGTGGCCATCTTCTCTTGGAAGATATGCAAAGAAGAACAAGGATCGAGTTGCTTATGAATACCGTGATATTGTCACAGTCAGCACCACTTGACCACATGAACGTCTGTGTTTCATGGTTAAACTCTGTCTCCTCCAAGAAGACAAAGCAGCTGCACCAATAATGAAGACCCGCTCAAAGGAGCAGAGGCCCAAGGGTTAACAGATCCATAAAAAACTTGTTTCTAATTTTGATATCACAGCCCTGGGAGAGTGGGAACGAGCTGGCAAGGCGCAGGCTCTGTGTCTCAGGCAGAACTAAAAGAGCAGGAAAGACTTTCTGCTCAGAGGTGGGACTGCCACTGAGGTCGCCTCCTTTGTCCCAGGTGGCACTAAGACTACCAACCTAATCCCTTCAGACCTTCCCAGGCTGCACCTTGTTGGGGTTGCAATACGTCCACCCTATGGTCCAAGGCCAGGCATTAAAACCCTAACTGTCCTCAGCCACATCCATCTGGCTGAGCTGTTGTCTTGCCACAGGGAGAACTGGGAGAGCAGGGAGAGGGATGGTCTGTGCAGATCCCGAGGTCCTGTGTAGCAGTTACGGTCATCTGTCCTCTTTATGTACATTTGCTGTGTTTAGTCCTCCATGTTATTTCCTCATGTAGATAGGAACAGACTATAATAATGTCCTATTTGTCATT